CATTCATCTGAATGCTCATTGAAGAAAATAGAATGAAGAAATAACAGAACTTACAAAACCTGCTTGAAATCAGGATTAAAAAATTGAAATCCTGAGATAAACTGCTCCTGGCACTTAGGCACCTATACGCCAAACTCTCGGGAAGCAAAACCCACACCTAGCTTAGGTGAGCGCCCAAGGCCGGCGAAAAAGCCATCAATGGCTTAGCTGCCAGGTTCTTGGGTGCTTTTGGATCCACAATCTAGGTAGCAGTCGACAACTGTTGATCCGCAATGATAAACGACTGGCGGTCAGCGATGAAGTAATGCTGGACTTTGGTTCCTAGCTCGAAGCTTTAGTCTTCTTCAGGCCTCAAGCTCTCATCCCCCCTCCCTGCAATTAATGAAGGAATGTGAATCAGTCTGATCGGGCGGCCCAACGAGCAATATTAAGCAATATTAGATAACATTTGATGGGCATTTAATTACCTTACTGATGCCATGATTGAGCAATATTAAGCTCACTGATTCGTCTCACTGATACGCTTGATTTAGATACAAGCTCGACAGATTCAACATCCGTTTGAGCTTCCAAAAAAAATGTTTAATGCTTCAATCCGAGCTTAATTTGACTTGGATTTGACCCTTTTTAATATCATTGAGTTTGTCTCATCAAGTCAGTTGAAATTAGAGCTCTATATGTCACTTGATCAAAGTTTGAACATTTTTTTCTTAAAAAGTTATCTCAATTTTATTTCATGTCTCGAAATTCAAGTTGGAAGTTGATTTATTGATGACCTATCAGTGCTTGATGATAGAAATCTTAAAAAGTTTAGGTGAGGTGTAAAGTATATATATATATATATATATATATATATATATATTTGTGCCGTAAGCCGTGGCCTGTTGGTTGGTGGGGTTCACTATAAGTCCCCTGAGGTCACAGATTCAATTTCCCGTGGCACGGAATTCTCGAATAATTAGGCGCGTGACGCGGGCTCTCATCATGGGGCTTGATGTCCATGAGAAATCCAAATATGGATTTCATTTATATATATATATATATATACATACATACATACACCTATTTTTAAAAATCTCTCTCTCTCCCTACTAAAATTTTGGCCAACCTTTATTTAATGTAAGCACTGCTCGAATCGAAAATTTTATTTGGAGCACGCGTTTCTCACTAATTGGTTTTAATATTTATAATCAACATTTTTCATTCTACTCGACTTCATTCAGCCAAAGCAATCATCAAACCACCTTTGATTTTCTATTGAATCTAAACACCTTCGACGACCAGTTATGAGAGTCCATGGGGCCCGTATCTTTAAAATTGCCAGTTTTATCAAGCAGTAATTAAAAAAAAAAAAAAAACATATGATTTTCTTACAATTTGTGCTCAAAATCAAAATGAACGGCTCCAAGCTTATGTGCCGGTTAAGA